GAAATGTAAGTACATTACTGGCTAATGAACTCGAGGCAGAGATGAATTGCAGGACGGAAATAATTGCGTATGTGATGACCTTGGATGTGATAGTAACGAACTTCCATAGACGTTAAGCGAAAGAAATTAGTGTATCTGGTCGCGTCAGGGCATTTATCCAATTGACAGTGCTCAAGAAGACGCTAGAAAGCATCTCATTCAATCGTACCGTGGGTTCGACGAGGAAGAAGCAGCATAGATCAACATAGCAAAACTAAGCACAGGCCAAGTAACAGCGAGAATGATGTCAGACTACGATCAGGCGCCAAAACAATAGTAAAGACGAATAACCTCCATGGAAGTCAAGAATATATATATTGCAAATGTGGATCTGTAATAGCGACTTATTTAAAATGGGGGCAAGGGTAACCAGTTTTTCAACTAAAAAGATAACATCTAATCATTTTTTTTTTCAACGAATGATTTACATGCTATTAATGATTACCAGTTTGATTATCACCATAGTTTTGGCTTTTATTATTATTGTCATCATCATTACTGCTATTTTCATTGCTACCACCGTGAACGCTTCCAAAAAAAAAACAATTTACAGTGTGAATTCATTTTATTCTTTTTTTAAATCTCACTTTGATTGCTAGAGTAAAGCTTTACTATATAAAACAAAGCATACCGTACTCCAGGGGCCAGGCACCCAGTAATAGAGGCAATCTGTTACAGGACATGGACGGGCTGTTTCCGGTGCAGTTTCATTGCTACACATTTTGGGTGCTGCACGCTTGCCCAAGTTGCTAACACAGTAGATGCGACGGTGTTGATCAGACTTCTTGCATGGATCAGAGCACTGCAGTACAAACAGTAATTAATATTTAAGTCATAAAGTATAATGACAAATAGATGACTAATTTATTTAGCCTATGAAAAAAAAAAGAAATATGCCAATTTTAAGATACCACCTTATTAAGTGGTAATATATTTATCTTCAAATCTTTGAACCAAACCCTTGCAAGTAAATTTGCCCTTATTCATTTCTATTTACTAATTTGAAATATTTGATTACACATAAATTATAGGGTAAAAGAACTGAAGAAAATAATTTAACTCTGATATCTTAATATGATAAATTAGTCTGATGCCTAGTTATCCCACGCTAAATATATGGATAATAATGGCTTTTGGCTAAATATAAGTCATAAATTCTGGGAATGTAAAATGGAATAGATCAGCTTGACTACGTTACTTTTTTTTCTTCACATTTAAATATATACAACTAGGTAGTATATCGGTTTTTATATTCAAATTAGGTAACTGCCTTCCACTTTAGGAATTGAAACATTTTGTAGCTTTTTTTTGCTTACAGAGATACTTTACAACCTAATTTGTTCATTACATGTTACTGTAGCTTTCACCGCAAAAATGTTCTGCAAGAAATGTGTCGAAAGCAAACAATGCACTGCATTTTCATGATTGCTTTTTTTCAGATTTTTTCTAAGAAGATGAATGAAACTGTAGCGAATTTAATTGCTGAAAGTAGTTCACTAAGTTTTAGTTCCAAATTATAGTTTGGAACAGTAAAAAATGAGAATTTCTAACTTTGGACCAAGATGTAGCTATCCAGTGATAAGCTGGACACGACATCATCATGCACACTGAGTTTTCTAGTGGCTTTGCTAACTTGGCACATTCTGTATCTGGCAGATGTGTTCGCCGACCTTTTTGGCATGTTACTTCACGAGATCGAGTTCCTCTTCCACAAGTCACTGAGCACTGCAAATGATTTGGAATTTTCATATTTAAACATTTTTCAGAGTTTAAAAAAGTATTTGCTCAAGGAATCAACTTTTATTACTTGGCAGAGAAAATATTCGTAAAAATTAGCCATTTAAACTACCAAACTAGTGATATAAAACAGCAGTCCTTCGTGACTTACACCTGTTTGACAGTTTTTATTTGAAAAAGGCTCCCAACAACAACTATTGTCATAATTCACCGTATGATAAAACAGTTTCATTATTATCAAAGAAATATAGTCAGTTCATATAAATAGGCAACTACAGCACTTAGTTGCAAGAAATAAATTATTAAAATGTCCCACTCACGATAGGACAAAAAATTTTACGTTTAGAAAACGAGTTAACAGCAATTTTTTGAATGGAACAGATAGTTTGTCGTTTATTTCTAAATTTTATGAGATATTATATGTTTCTTTCTGCTAGCAGGGAGCCAACAATAAATAGACTATTGAGAACCAGAAAGATTTATAGGGTGTGCAATTTTTATGAAAACAATAAAATACTACTTTTTTAGTATTTTCTGTGATCAAAATTTGCACAGAGTAACGGTTTGCATCAAAAAATAATGAAGCAACTACCAATGCATGCTCAGCGATACTAAATTGTTCGTCAACTTTATATAAGCAAAAATCACAGAAATCTATTTCAGTTACAAAGTTATGTATTTTTTACATTATATTTATTTTTCCTTTGGAGTGTAGCAAAAATTACAACAGTCAATTTAAATACTTTAATGCATGCATTTTTTACAATTAAACTTTTTGGAGTAACACACAAGAAGCTTTCAAGGTTTACCACCAAGAGTGTCAAATTTAAAAATAATAAAACATGCTATTTCAGTACTGCTCACTACTCACCATGGACCATTTCCCCGTCTTCCACCTTGGACAATGCGCCATTCGACAACGATGGGAGTCGATTGGACGTTTCGCTGAATCACAATACTTGGATGCTACAGTACGACTTTCTGAATTGACACATGAAACGAGACGTTTGCGAACACCACGACCACAAGTAGTTGAACACTGAAATGTGACCATACATCAACATTTGTGAGAGCAACTGTTTATCATCAACAACAACAAACGATAGTAGCAAGCAGTAATAAAAAATTCATTCACATATTAAACTTCAACAAAGCAATCATGCTGCTTTGAAGCTCATTTCTCACAAAGAAAATAATCTTTTTTGATATAAATTTGCATAACTTGTGGAAAAGATAAATTAGGGGAAAATATTTTAAAAAAGCAAGCGCAACAATGAAGTAAGAAGTAATATTTCTAGCTATGCACAATAATGGAAACATTTTTTTTGAAACAGTAATACAAGCAATATTGGATTACATTTTATGAAAGATAATTAAATTTATGATTGAGCAGAAAGCTCTAAGGAAAAAAAGTTGAAAGGAAAACTAGGCAAAATTTCAGATAATTGTGCGTTTCATACCATGAAAAAATTGGAACTAACGACAACAACAACATTAAAATAATTATCTACCGCAGTATGACAGATATTAGAAAACGAACAAGCAAGAGACTGAAGAAAACTTTTGTAATGCAAAATCAACGCCAAAAAACTACTAGCAAGTTTAAGCCATGCAAAACGTTATTCAAAACCAAGAAACATTGCAAAATCTTTTCATATACAATGAACCTACAAAAAACTGCAATTTTTCTTTTCCTTGCCTATCCCCCAAAATTATTTTTAATTCTAAACATATAATTAGTGAAGTTAGACAAAGAAGGAGCACAAAAAACCTCTTATGTAATTCTATAAAAGTGATCAATAAAGAAGTGCTACTTAAATTTTGTATATTTGTCAAAAATGTGAAAGGAAAAACTATTTTTTAGAAAACCTTACTTTTGTGTTCGTAAAATCTTAAGGTACACACGTGACAACAAATAATAGAATGTACCAACCTTCTGCATTTAAACTGGAGATGAAGACTGTGAAAAGTCTGAATAATAATTCCTCAAAATATCTTAATGAATGTTTGAAAATTTATTCTAAAAATTCAATAACAAACATATACTGCTTTTTGATTTTTTTGATAAAGACTAGCAAATAAACAAGTAATGCAAATATATTACTAGAAAAAATTAAGCAAGCAAGATTAAGTAAAATTTAAACGAAGTATTAGATAAAAATACTTTTAAATTGGACATAAAATTCAAAAAAGAACATAAAAAGTTATACGATTACAATACAGAACAAGCATATTTCTATTCACAATAGCACTAGAATAGGTATTCGCAATTTTTTTCTTTGATACACGGAATAAAATAATTTTCATTTGAACAATCTATAAATTTCACTTCTGCTATGAAGAAATAAATAAACATTAAAATGAATAAGTGAAACGAAGAATTTTCATAAATACCAATCTCCACTTTTCATAAACAATCATGCAAAAGAAATTCAAAATCTACCAACATTCCTGAGACTGGCGACAAAACTACAAAATAAAACAAAAGAACTTCTGATTGAAAACTGAAATGATGAAAAGAAACTTCGGAATATGACTGCATCAAGAAAATAGTTTGCATAGTACAAGCTAAACAAATGTCAGATGATGCAATCTCACATTCATTTCACTTTTTTACTAAGAAATGTACTCAATTGCATGTTTTCATCATTTATATAAAGCAATGAAAGCATCTAATAACAAAATGAAGTTGTAAGTAAATATAAAAAAGTACGCACTAAATGTTATCAAAAATTATTACTAAGCTTATGCAATATATTGTAATAATGTGCTTCATGAATTTATGTATTAATTAAGATATTAGGCTTTGCTGAAAGCATTTTTCAAAACCATCATTATTATATTATTTTTTCATTCAAAAAAAAAGGTTTATTATATAGTGCAGAATTTTCCTCTCAAAATTAGTATAAGACTGTAATGGATAGAGCGACAGATGGGCAAAAATAATAAAGCAGAAGAACACAGAAGCCTGAATACTGGCAGTAATACTGAAAAGTGATAAAGAGATTGGCGAGCAAAACTGAGTAATCAAACCATTAAAGATAAATAATAAGATATTAACGATAATCTCATCATGAAAATAAGTATAATTTCGTTTTATAAGAAATGAAATTATATCAGAAGTAGGAATGTTTGAACATAATTTTTGTATAAGTAAAGCCGGCAGTATTTAAGATGAAGAAATAACTCACAGTTCAGTAAGTCAGTAAGAAAATTTTCGCTTCACATATAGTGAGAACTTTGTAACAGAAAAGAAATGAAACTTCTGTAGGACTACTGTTCCCACCTCAAAAACGAAATGAAACTTTTTCCTTTCTACGATTTTGCTACAAAATAAATTGAGGAAAAAACTATTATAACTTGTTAGTCCAATAAACAACTGATTTAAGCATAATGTAAGCGGAAAAATTTTTAAAAGATAAGAAAAGATGGCAGTTAGGTACAATAAAGAAGAGCAGTGTTAATAATTCTTTACAGTTTGTATTAAGTAGTGAGTGTAAAAGCTAATCTATGGATATCATCCAGTTATATGAAGCAGGTGTGAGGGTGTTGCATTCTATTTACTAATGCATTCATTGCGTGTGTGAGATGATAAAACACGTAACGTGAACAGACTTTCAACATGGAGATTTTCTTGTGTTACAATCATCAAGCACTAGTTATGGATTAAGACATTTGACATCATTAACAATGACAAGACAAAGTAAAATCCGGCAGCGAAGCAAGCATACTTTAAAAAACAGAAAAAATAGTGCATTGGTGAAACTATGTCCCACGTATTCTATGATATTTACGTCTAGAGATACGTACCGGACTCCATTTCCCTGCATACCACTGATAGTACTCGTTTGTTATTGCGGTTACTTTGCATTCTACTGTACTGCATTCTCTTACACTAGTGGGTTTTTCAGGTAATAAGCATTCTGTATCTGCAACGCGTTCACGTGTTTTTTCATCTTCACACCACACTGTGCGTCTCTGTAAACCACCACCACAGGTCACTGGACACTGAAAATTAACTCTTGAAGAAATCACGCCTTATTATTTTTTCAAAATCTGACTTTACACTTATGATTTGAGAAATAAAATGAATTTAATATAAAAGTTTTCTCAAATGTAAGCATTAAATTTCTTTCACAAGTATTTTAATGAAGAAAACATACATTAGACCAAGGTGACATTTGCCAAACGTTGGATACTTTAGCACACTTATGCTGATTACAGCGTTCAAACTGATCCGGTTTCTCTTTTTCATTACAAAATCTTGTATTACATAAGACTAAACGTCTACGCCAGCCACCATCACATGAAACGGAACACTAAAAGAGTAAATTAAAATTCAGTGTCAAAAAAGTTGAGATTTTAGAAATAAAAGATTATTCATTATCATATTTAAGGCAATAAATTTTAAATAATCATTCAATTAAGAAAAATTATAAACAAATCAAGAATGCATACATGTATAAGATCATGACTTTACAAGCACTTAGAACATTATGAATTCATCAGATAACCCGTTGACTTGAACTGTGAAATAGCGAGAACGGTAAATATAACCTTTTCCCAATCTTTGGTAATCCAAGTTCCCAAAGGCGGTTCACCCATTGGACAAGGATTCAGATTACATGATCTGATTGACTGCGGACGAATCGTTAAGTCACAGTCTGTTTCTCGAACTTTTTCACTAACTTCTGTTGATTCGCAACTTACACGACGATCAGTTGTTGCATGTACACCGCAAGTAACCGAGCACTAAATTTTAAAGTTGAAAACCTCATCTGCGATGACTTCTAGAACATTCACTGACATTATTTATAGGTTAGAGTTTCAATTTTGAAAGAACAATCTTTTTTTCAAAATATGTTCATATTGTTTCATCTACTGCAGTGATTAACAATATCATTCACTGTTTGTTAGTAGAAAAACAGATTGTAAATAATTAAATTTGAAAAAAAATGTGATAAATTTACTTGCTGAAATAATTTGTAAATAAACTGATTTGCTAAAAAAGTTGATGACTTTCCTTAAAAAAAGTAATCAATTTCTTTGGAGTAAAACAGTAATTTTCAGAGTTACCGGTTTCCAAGGTCCAACAGTCCACTGAGCACAAGGCTTTATCTGACAATATCGATAAGTTTCAACAGGTTCTAGATGTTGGCAGTACGTATCAGTGAGATCACGAACTTGATCACGGCATAGTACAAGACGACGCTGTGTTCCATTCCCGCATGTTTGTGAACAATCTGACCACGGTCCAATAGCCCATCGAATTTTCGGCTGATCATTTACAGCATTATCGATGATGTTTTGAGTGAGAGCTTCACAGTTGTCACGCTCACATGTTTTCTCCATTTTTGGACGCATTGCCTGCAATTAACTACTGTGATTTTTTCAAAACTTGGTTAGAATTTTTATCTCTGTTTTGGTTTACTTGCAAAATTTGTACGAGCAACGGAGAGTTTAAGACGTTTATACGAAATCTATTTTCCTTGTTTACTTGCATCACTAACAATCGGACTTGAAATTTATTTAGACAATAGCTCCGAATTAATTGAATTAACTGATGTAAAAATTTATAAAATGCTTTCGGAAATAAATGGCATTGCTTAACTCAATCTTTTATTTTTTTCACTATCCTGAGAGAAATAAAACTGAATTCTACCATGTCACATTCACTTTCATGTAAGACGGATTTTCCGCGTAAGCATTGTACATTGCGGGATTGAATACCAGTACCACATGTAACCGAGCAATGGGACCAAGGAAGTACTTCCCATCTCGCACACGGAAGTAAGCTGAAAAAGATATAATCAACATTTTTCTATTGTAAAAATAGACTGAAAATAAACAAAAATTCCTTTAGAAGAAAAATATTGATGATATATTACTTTACTTACCTGCACTGTTCAACTTTTGACACTGGTGTATCAGCACAGAGTGAGCCATCAACAATTTGGTCACGATATATGCAATCAACATTTCTTTTTCTGATTCCAATACCGCAAGACACAGAGCACTGGAACACTTTTCATTTGTGAGTCTATCTTCAATGGTCTAATAATATAAATTGAATGATATGCAACTTATTAATCTATTTGGGCAACAAATAATGAATAATAATTAATCATAATAACGATTTTAATGATTAATAATAATAATAATAATAATAAAATACAGTGATAAAATTTAGAGAGAACCTTAGACCAATCAGATGTTCGCCAAAATGGACACTGCCCCTGATTACATGTTTGATGGCTCTGGGGTCGAGCTTCACCTTGCCTCAAACATTGCTCGTCAGATACTACATGTCCACTAGCATCAACACATGATACATGTCGAGTTTTCCAACCATCAGAACAAGACACCGAGCAAGCAGTCCATGATCCAAGACGCCAACTGGGACAAACCATTCGATGGCATGGCTTTTGAACGATTCGTTCACGAGGATCACATAAACCTGAACAAATTTTTATTTTGCATCAATCTAATGGATTGCATTTGCTTCTAAACGGTTAGAAAAATATTCATTCTTGTATTATTTAGTTGGTCCTAAAAAGAGAATATTAGTTTGGTAGTCCTGTCTGTTTCATTATTAACGTTGTAAATTTTTTTCTCTGGAAAAGCACTAAAATGTATGGTGATGAATGATTCTTATTTTATATTACCCAAATCAAAAAATTAAAAGTATTATTTATTTAGCATGAAATTTTTAGTTAACTTCATTACAGGCAATGATATTTTTGCTTCTTAGTTTAAATTAGCCTAAAAATATACAGCATCTTGACAAGATGCATGTTTACTTTTTTCGTTTTACTTTTTAAGATTGATGCAGTTAATCATATTACAATTTAGTTCTATATCCGAAATAAACTTGGTCTATGCCGTCACTACAAAACATTTTTAATTGCTGCGCATAAATATGACTTTAAAATTTGGCAACGAATGAAGTGTAATCTGAAAATTACTCTGATCAACTTGTCGACCATTGAGATCAATACAGGCAGCATCTCGCATTTCAGTACCATCGCCGCAACTCACCGAACAACCACTCCATTTGCCGAATCTCCATTGAGTGCAAATCTGATTATTACATTTCTCTCGATCATGTTTTTCATTGCTATCGCACATAGTCAGATGTACTTCACGACCGGCAGCATCTTGACAAGATGCATGTCGTACTTTTACACCACCATCGCATGATCGAGAGCACTATTAAAAAAGTCACTTAATACTGTATCATAACTTTATACCGTATAACTAATATTACCAAGCAATTTTACTTTCAAGAACTTCAGAAAGCTCATCTGAATTAACTTTAACAGAAGCAAGCTTTGATCACCTTGAAAAGCAACAAGCAAAGGGAGTAATTGATTAAGATATGAAGAAAATTTTCATTAGATAAAATAAAGAAAATACGAGCTTACTTCGCTCCATGCTCCGTAGACCCATTTGGGGCAAGGAATCCTATTACATTCTTTTTCTACTTTTTCCTTCACTGCTTGCTCACAAGAACGATCATCTAAACGTCGTTTGTTCTGATCGCTGCAAAATGCTTGACGACGACTGACTCCAGAAACACCACATGATTCCGAACACTACAAAATAGCTATTTTCATACCTTTTAAAAATTTCATTGCCAAAGATATTTCTGTTCTGAAAAATAGATCAGACGTTTTTTTGCAATAAAATATATTTTACCGGTGTCCACTCAGAGTAAGTCCATGTGCGTCCTGAGCAATCAACATAACACTGTGCACGGTCACTTGGTTTTTTTAACTGCCGACAGTGTGAATTTGAAATTGTTACTTTTTGTCCATCATTATAACTGCGAATGCATTCACTTTTTTGACGTCTTTCTCCACGTCCACAAGTTGCACTGCACGAATCTATTGGTATTGTACGCCACCTGCAATCAATTAAATAATGCATTTTCTTCAGAGTATACAAGTAGTAATTACACAAATATGCAAAGCACAATTTAAAAGCGAGAAAATAATGAAATAACTACTTGATAGTACAGTTAATATTGCACATTCGAGTTTCTGTTGGTGGTCGTTGAGAAGTACATAAATTATCATTCACTCCACGACTTGATGTTGCATCAACACAAATAAGTTCTTGTTTTTGTTGACCTAAACTATGAAAAGCCAAAAGTTAAAGGTGATAGCAATACCCATAATATTAGAAATAATTAGTCATACCATATGCAAGGTTATTTGCATATAATATAACTAATTTACTACCAAAAATTTATTCGTTAATCATTATTTGCACATATGCATCATATACATAAGTGAAATGATATTTCTTCAGTAAAAGCAAACACCATGTCTTCCAAATTTTGTATCAATTTGTGCGAATTGAGATAAATAAAGAAAATGCTTAATATTTTGTTTTTTTATATACTTTCATTTTTGGCTAAAATATGTACAACATCAAACATTGCAAAATTTAATTCGATCCATCAGTAAAAAGTTAGTTTACTCATGAGAATTCATTTCGTTTTGCCAGAAAAAAAAATGCATGACAAAAGGAAACCTTGACATAGTGAGGAACATTCTGACCAACGTTCAGTAATACGCCAGTAGTATTTGGTATTTGATGTTTCATAGTCAAATGGCATATTTTGCGCTGGTACCATAAATTCATAGTGTATATCAGGAGGATATAAATTTCCAACCGATAAAACATGCAGATAAATATCGGTTCTAAAAAAATTCCTGGTAAAATAATGCTTTCATATTTTTTTATGACAAAAATTTTTTTCTTCAAACTAACCGTATAGGTCCAGTACCATTGATTCGTTCTATGATATGATCACTACCAGAATATTCAAGTACAGTATCTTGTATGGAAATCTGTTGACGGAAAACGGATACTTGGTAGTGACCATTGAGCAGGAACTCTCCATTTGCATTTCGTAAAGCTGTAATATCCAATTATGTTACCTAAGCAAACCATAATGAAAGTAATAACATTATGGTTTGCTTAGGTAACATAATTGGAGAGTTTCCTTCCTTGGTGTGAAGCAATAAAAAAAATACCTCGCTGTATTTGCGATATTTAACAGAAAAAAATGATTGCTTACAATTTTTCACTTGTTGACTTCGAAGAACTAAAGCGATCTAAATTTAACAAATAACTCAAAAGCGGTGTTTGATTTTCAACCATTTCCTGTCCCAGTCATTCTTAAGGACAATATAAATACACTTTAATTCATCTATACGAATAAACCAATCTTCATTCATATTTTTTAATTAAACAACATTGGCTTTACCTGCATTCCAGAAAACATTTTCATTAGTCATCCATAAGATTGCCTGATTTCAAAATGCAAATAATATTAACAATTACTACAAACAAAATTATGCTTTTGATATTATGGTAGATTATTTCATCAAGTCGAAAGAAAGTATATCTATATTAAAGTAACCGAGATAATTATCGTCTTCCTTTTGATTACGATATCCATGTTGAGTAATTTCAATATTAGCGGAGCCAGCAGGTATCTTCAATACTTCATTGTACCCAAATGATCCACGCTCGTTATATCTACCTGATACAACACGACACGTGCTTCCATCACCGCCACAAATTCCACATTTATCACGTTTCATTTCAGAGCCTAAACGATGGTCGCAGCCAGCCTACAATCAGCAAGTAAATTACATCTCTTCAGTTTGTTAAGATATGTATGCAATATGAGCCCCCATAACAGAAATCAAATTTGTTACAGAGTATTGAGCATTTTTAGATATTAAAATTATATGATATTTCAAATTCATCCCTCCACTATAAGCTGCGAAAATTTTTTGATCAGTGCAAGGTAGCAAACCTTATGACAAGTGCCATCAATGCACATATCATCTCCATGTCGATAACATGGAGTGCCATCCAAAACTTTATCCTTCAGCAGATAGAATGCAGCTGATCCACTAAGTCGGCAATACAGTTTACACCTCTCATTGTCACTTACTGAAATGTGATTTTTTAATCTATTTCAAAGGTATTAAGGAGTGAAAATTTATCGACGAATGCTCTCATGGAGTAACGAACTTCCGGTATATTTTGGCAACCACCGAGAGTTTGGAGGTACTCCGTGAATTCCAACATCCTGATTATCAAAATCAGAACACTGTACTTCCCGAAAACCTGGTGTATCCCATGGGCAATCTTGAATATTACATGGTCGATAACGCTCTTGTTGCCCTACGCAGTATTTGCCACCATTACTAGGTCTGAAAGAAAACTTTATCAAATTAATGGACAGAAATCTTAGTCACATTAAAACCATTTAGAAATTATTATTTCAGTGACTGGTACAGAAATCTAGAAAATAACACTATTCAATGAAAATAATCGGTTTTTAAGTAAATAAATAGATTAAAACTAATAAATATTTTAAAAGTACTTTTTGATCAGAATTTTTCCACAAAATTTTAGCAATATTTTTTATAAACAAAGAAAACCGTGGATTGTCACAATCACGTAGTGCCTTTTGAACACCTCCACCACAAGTTCTGGAACAATCACCCCAATTTTTCCATTCACCCCAAGAGCCATCTTGCTTCGCTCGTTGCTGCGGGGCCATACCAACACATTCACCACGGTGACACCACTGCGACAATCAATTATCTCATTACTCTAATTATCTTGCTAGCGTATATTAGAATTATTCCGCCATTTTTAAATAATTTTATTGTGTGAGACATTTTCACTAATCTAGAATTCTTTCGTAATTTACAATGTATATGACTGATATTCAAAGTAATGAAGATTCCGAATTTGTTCATAAAAAATATAATGTCGAATACAAATGCAGCATATAGCACAAAATATATTTATGAGAAATACCTGATTGTTCCCACACGGTGTACCATCAGCCCAAGGCATATGCTGCGTACGACAGCCCATTTGATATCCATAATATGTCGCACACCATAATCTGCGACATGCAGGCTGCAGTTGATAAATAAATTGAAGTGAAAAATTGTATTTTAATGAACAACTTAAAAACTTATAATTTAAAATTGTTCCAGCTCCCGTTTTCAGAGTAAGTTATGAGGCATTCATTTCTTCGTCATAAGAAACATCATTTTTTTCATTTTCTTTAATTTCTCTATAAAACTTAAATAACATGTATTTACGAATTTAAAAACAATAAAATTTGAAAAACAAAACAATTCAAAAGTTGAAACAGCAAAAAAAAAACCAATACCATATATGGACAAAGTTCAGCTGATGGTCCGAATACGAACTGGCATTGCTGATTAGCAGAAAACATCGATCCTGGAGCAGGATCTTCGAACATTCGATCATAATATCGACGTTCAATAGGCTGATCCAATATACATTGAGTTTGTGCTCGGTTGGCACTGAAATATCATTTTTTTTAAATCTTCCAGTAAGTAATCAAAATTTTTAATCAATGTAAACAGTGTCAAAAAATTTGAAAAAAAATTATGTTAATGACTTTTATCGGCTTTGCCGAGGTGCTGAGCGGTTGACTCTGAGCGGCTACGCTCAAGAAACATAAAATGGAGGATAAAAGGAAAAAGCCCTCATCTGGAACTGAAAATGAAAACAATGCAAAAACAAATGCAGATGGAAAAAGCTATGTGAAGAGTGTGAGAGAACATTCTGCAAGTGTACCAAAATCTAGTGCCAGCAGAATGATCACACTTGAAGCACTCGTCCATGGAATTGAAACCCCACGAAGCAAGTGGCAGCTAGATAAACTAGGTGCTACAAACTGCTAAAAGCAGTCCCTGACCGATTTGGAAGAATGCTGAAAGTGGGATGGTTATTGTGTCGATCTCTGTATAGCGAGAAGTTTTCGTGTGCTATTACACTGGAGGAACTGAAGAAGCAAGCGAATTCTGTGGTCACCAGTATTGCAGGTCATCCGTGCTCACAGAAACGGCTCTTTGAGGAGTCCACGAAACGTGTCAATTCACAAAATACGCACTTCGAGG